CATAGGAAGCATAATGTATGGCATGCCGTGTACGAGACCTGATATTGCGTATGCTGTGAGTGTCACAGGCAGATATCAGTCTAACCCCGGCCCGACTCATTGGAAAGCCGTGAAAGATATCCTCAAGTAAGAACTAAGGCTATATTTTTGGTGTATGGGGGTGCCGAGTTGAAATTAGAGGGTTTTACCGACTCTAGTTTTCAATCGGATGTGGACGACTCAAAGTCGAATTCGGGATTTATATTCACGCTTAATGGTGGTGCCGTGTGTTGGAAGAGTTCCAAGCAAAGCACGACGGCCGATTCCACTACCGAAGCGGAATACATTGCAGCGTCCGAAGCTGCAAAAAAAGAGACTTGGATAAGGAAGTTCATCCAAGAGTTGGGTGTCATTCCTAATGCTAATGATCCAGTACCGCTGTACTGTGATAACACCGGAGCCGATGTCACATTCTTAAAGAAGAAGGTTCTATGCGATAGAATAGGTGTATAGTAGAACTCAAAGAAATTTGAGAACCACGAATTGAAGTTCCAACACCATAAATAGGACCAGAGCCAACCTAAATCAAATCACCCATTAATGTACCTTATCAACCATCTATGTGGAGATTCGAAAGGATCCGTACAGAACTCTATAGGCTAATCCTCATCGAAGGTAGTCAAAGTGATTTTGACGAGGGATGTGATCCAAGAACCTTCAATGAGGTTGCATTTGATGCATATAAGGGACACTCGCTTAACGCCTTGAAATCCAAAATGGATTCCATGTACTCCAACAAGGCATGGAACTTGATGGATCCACCTGAGGGAATCTTTCCCGTTGGATGTAGGTGGATCTATAATCTTTAAGTTGGAATACATGGAAAGGTATCAACCTATAAAGCTAGATACGTGAAAAGGAGTTATACTCTATGACAAGGTGTTGTCTGGGAAATAATTTTTCACCAAACACTATGCTGTAATTCCATTAGGATTTTGCTAGCCATTTCTGCATAGTATGACTACGAGATATGGAGAATGGATATGAAGATCACATTCCTCAGTGGCAAGATTGATGAAATTAGGGTGGTGTAGCCGAAAGGCTTCATATCTTCTGGAAATTAGCAAAAGGTTTGGAAAATTCCAGCGATCCATTTATGGATTGAACCTAGCATCCCATAAATTAGAATGTTTGGTTCGACACAAAATCAACAATTGATTTAGTAACGAATTCGAAAGAGCCTTAAGTTTACAAGAAGGTTAGTAGGCGTGCCATTACATTTCCCAGTACTTTGTGTTGATCGCATCCTACTCATGCGGAATGGTGTAGGGATGCTACAATCAACTAAAGTACAATGGTCCACACATTTCTCAACAAATGAATTTGGGATAAGCTTCCTACGTATTAGAGGATACGTATCTACAAAGATAAATATAAGAGGTCGTTTATGTTAGAGTAGGTGACCAACAAGCCAACATGTGGCTGTGGTCTTTCGTATTTATTATTGTAATAAACGAACCTTTATTCGTATCAATGATAAAAGACCTTGGCATTCTATATCTTTGTCCCTTTGTCACAAGCATAGATATAGCCCTTACAGTTATTACAAGTACTAGTAATTGATCGTTAGGATCGTGAGATATTTACTTAAGTATTATAACTGTTAAACATGTTCCTAGTCGAAGGGTTACGCCACCAATGAGGATATCGGCCTTTCCCATTAAGAGACTAGCACTTAATGTATGTGTACTGCATCTCATCAGTAAACGGTAGTGATATCGGCATGCATAAGTGGGTGCTCGTAAGTTGACGAGTTCACTGAACTCCCTCACCCTAGAAATCTCTAAGTGGTTCCCAATAATCGAGTAGAGATATCTATGGTATAGTTGTACACCATTAGTCCTTATGACCTAGACATCACCGTGACTTCACTAGAGGACCAGCTGTATCGTGACCTGTCCCTGAGTTCCACCGAGAACCATCCCAAGGGCCAGTGTTCGTGCAGTCCGAAATCTAGTGGGAGGTCTGTGCATTGTAGTCGGGGATTCGATCGCTAGAATAGTCTTGGATGTCATGTGTGTTCTGAAAGGTTGTAATCATTCTAAGTCTCTGGCCAGAGCTGACTAAGTGATGATTAGAGAATTCGATTCTCTAAGTCATGCACGCAACGATTACAACACTTAGAACGATCGCACCGTCATTGAACATATAGAGAGGTCTCGATGAACCAATGCCTCTAGTTCAATCGGGACATATGAATCGAAGAGACCGTACTGTACGTTAACTATATCTGAAGGTTCTTGCAGGCACTTCATTTGTATCTAGGGAATCATGACGCGTACACATCGAGGGTCACACTGCTCGTGCACATGAGATCTTTGAATAAATGGTCAGAGATAAAATAGTTTATCTTTGCATGATTGGAAGTCAATACGATTGGGTCCAACATTCGTAATTTGGAATTACGAATGAGAATAAGAAAAGGGAAAAGAATAGGCGAACATTGTAGTGGACTTTCTAAATCGGGAAGTTTCCAAATTTAGAAAGTGCACTGAACTAGGGTTTCCACTTTTGGAAAGTTGGAAATTGAGAATTGGCACTCGTAATGACGAGGACTTTATAATGATTCCGAAAATGTAATCGTTGAAATTTTTCGGTCATTGAATTGAGAGAGACGAGCAAGTAAAAGTACTAGCGAACTTAAGCTGTTGGGCCCGGTCCAACTTTAGCCCGCTTGGGTTTTATGCAAGGCCCTATAAATACAAGATTTATAGTTCTTGCACATACACAACAACAAAACCCTAACCTTAGCCGTCACTCTCTCTCTCTCTCGGCCACCCTCTCCCACGGCCACCACCGCCGTCGCCGTCGCCGCTTTGCCGGAAACGGCCATTCATTGGCCGATTACATTCGGTATTCTTTTTCCTCTTTCTTTTCTTCCGTTATTTCTAACTATTACGTGTCTAGTGCCACGTGTTAAGTAGATCGAAGTATACGAGGTGAAATCCGAGAGGAGGAAGATCGAAGATCGAGGAATCGAGGAGCAGCACACGAGCCGAAGCCGCACGCAACCCCACGCGCCGCCCGAAGACCGCGTGTGAGTTACACGCGCCGCCGTGGCCGTCTCGCCGCTGCTGCCCCGGATTGTACGGATTGGTTTCCGTAGCAATCTCGTCTTGCTTAGTGCGCCTACCTCACGCTTCAAGAGGTAATGTTTCGAATCTATTGTCATTCGATTCGGTGACGTTTAAATTAATATGTGCATGTTCGTTCTTGTATGATTTTATGTAAATACATGGAATTGAATTATATGTAACGAGCATGTTATTTGATTTAAACGCGAGCATGCTAATTGATTTAAATCCGGTTAAATTATTGAGCATGTATGTTGTTTTTAATTTCGTTGGAAGCGCAAATGTACGCAATTAATTGGTTTCATTTAATGGGCATGTGTTTATGTGTTTTAAAGTTGTTTAAATCGCATAAAATTTTTGTTTACCGCTGCGTACACGTGCCTGAAACCCAACAGTTTAGCTATCCCAATTCATATTATAGACATGATATAATGTATGCAGTGAAGCGTCACAGTAGATATCAGTCTAACCCCACCCAAATTAGTTGGATAGCTATGAAACAAATTCTTAAATACTTGTGAATTACTAAGAACTTGTTCATATATAGTCCATGGGGCTTCCGAATCGCAAATAAAGTCGTTCGGCGACTTTAGTGTTTCAATCGGAAGTGGACGACTCAAAAAGGACGCCGGGATTTATATTCATTCTTACTAACGAGGTGCCTTATGAGTTCCAAGTGAAACATGACGGAGGATTCCACCTCCGAAGCTTAATATATTGCGGCATTAAATGACGCAAATGTAGCAGTTTGGATTCGAAATTACATTCAAGTGTTGAGTGTGTATTTTCAAAAGACCTCATAAGAAATCCAAGCATATACTGAATCATGATTATCTCATTGGTAAGATAACAAATAGAGGCGAACTTTAGTTCGAGAGAGTTTCCTTGGTAGACAACATTTTAGATCCCTGAATTTAGCATTTACCCAGACCGGTCCCTAAGAAACATCGAGAGTCGATGGGACTTAAGTAATGAGTAGTTGGCTTTAGGTCAAGTGGGAGACTGTTAGAGTAGGTGACCGAAGAGCCAACTAATTGTTGTGTTTTCTCACGCTACTCGTAAATAATCTATTTCATATTAAAGATAAAATTCCCTTTGAAATTTTATATCTTTGTCCTTTGCATAAGCAAAGATATAGTCCTTACTGTTAGTTAATTACTATAAATATATCTAGTAGAATGATGAGATTATTTAAGTATATTAACTGTTAAACGTAGTTCCTAGTTCGCCAGTCAACGGGTGTTGTGACATCGGCATACATAAGTGGGTGCTCATAGGTTGGAGATTCTCTTACCTCTGTACATCAATGGGGCAACCAACCTCCACCCTCGTAAGCACATCAGTGGGAGACAATTCTCACGAGGAGCCAATTCACTCGGTGCGGGACCTGGCTCCGTGCGCGATTTCGATCCGCACGATCCTCCACCGCACCACCTCGATTGGCCCCCGCGTTCCGGTCGTTGTGTGCGTTCCGATCATATTTTAATTTTTATATTTGAGAGGAAAAATAAAATTTTGGTGGAAAAATATTGTAAAATGGTGAGAGGGTAGGAGATGAAATCTTTACCAAAAAAATTGGTGAAAATATAAATTTTAATAATATGGTAGTATAGGATTTGACCACAATACGAGTTTAGAATCAAATCAGCATAATTTTAGGTATAATGATGATCTAATAATTTAAGTTAGGAAGTTAAAAAAATCTAATCTAGGTGTAAAAAATGTGAATAGTGTTAGAATGAAAGATGCCCTTAAAACCTTTAAATTTGCAAAAGGTGAAAAAATGCAAAAAATTCCAATTTAGTAATTTAGTGATTAAAGTGTAAGTACTGAATATATCTCTTTATTTTAATAAAAATCATAAAATTTAGGGACTAAGTTGAAACATTTGAAAACTTAAGTGGAATCAGAACTAATATAAAATTGTCGGCGTCAGCAGCCCTAAATTCCATTTCCGCCGCCACGAACACCACCGCCAGAAGCCGTTCGACCCCATTCTAGCTTCCGTCCGATAAATCGCCGCCGTATATTGCCGTTCCGGCTGATCAATCGCTTCTTTTGAGATTTTAGAACACGCCAGCCGCTATATGCCGGAACTTTGTCGCGGTGGCCTCCGTTCCGGTGAACCATGGTCTGGATGGGTACCTGAACCCGAATTTCCGGTTACCCACCGATTAACCGACCCGATATTTTCGATTCGAATCAGTGTGAGTTTTTTGAGTTCTATATTTTTTGAAGTTTGAAGAATAAATGAGATGTAGTTCATTTGGAGTAGTAGTATTGTGAGATCAAATATGCACAAAAAGAAATGATTGAGTTGATGTTTTTTGAGTTATATTTCTCTGTCTAATTGTATTCATCCAAACAAATTGGATGGATTTTGTTGTTCCAACGTAATCAAATTCTTCGGTTTAAAAGTCAAATAGGAAATGTAACCGCATTGTAATACGAGTTGCTGATTCCAAAGTTAATTTGTTTCATATTTTACTTTCAGGGTGCTATTTGCGGATATCCACTTCAGTGGCAGAAATCGAAGAACATTGTAATAATGTCTGCCTATGCAGAGAAGAGGCGGCATTATTAAACTTGGGCGCCGATTCGAGAAATTGCCAACCGTGAATTTCTGTATCCGATCATTCAGAATTTCATATATTATTTGCTGGCAATTACATCAAGCAGTTGCTGAGAAATGTACCATGCATCTCTCAGTTATTCTTTGCTGTCAAAAGTCCGGAAACCTTCGTTTTCATACTGTCTAACGACGCTGAGTCATCATCAGAAACAAGAACCGAACGATAGATTTAGAAACGAGAAGCAAGAACCAAAGGAGGTTGACAAACAACCTTCTATTGGCTCTCCAGCTCGAATCCAGAAGCTGATAGCTTCTCAGTCGGACCCACTCCTTGCTAGGGAAATCTTCGACTTAGCTTCTCGTCAGCCCAACTTCCGACATTCTTATGCCACCTGTCACACACTCATCCTCAAACTCGGGCGGTCTCGCCATTTCTCTCTCATGCAAGCCCTCCTCTCTAGCCTCAAGTCCAAAGACTATTCCATTTCCCCATCTCTCTTTACACACATCATTCAAATCTACGGCGACGCGAAAATGCCCGACAAAGCCCTCAAAACTTTCTACACAATTCTAGAGTTCAACATCAAGCCCCTCACGAAGCAACTCAACTGCATCCTCGAAATCCTCGTCGCAAATAATAACTTCCTCCGCCCTGCGTTTGACCTCTTCAGGGCCGCCCACAAACACGGGGTCTCTGCAAACACCAAGTCTTACAACATCTTGATGCGGGCTTTCTGTTTGAGCGGTGACTTGAGCATCGCGTACACTTTGTTCAATCAAATGTTTAAGCGCGACGTTCTTCCCGATGTTGAGTCGTACAGAATCTTGATGCAGGCATTGTGCAGGAAGAGTCAGGTCAACAGAGCTGTTGACTTGCTCGAGGATATGCTGAACAAAGGCTTTGTGCCCGACACTTTGAGCTATACGTCTCTGTTGAATAGCTTGTGTCGGAAAAAGAAGCTGAAGGAGGCTTACAAGCTTCTTTGTCGGATGAAAGTGAAGGGGTGCAATCCCGATATCGTACATTACAACACAGTCATCTCTGGGTTTTGTAAGGTGGGCCGTGCCGTTGACGCGTGTAAGATTCTTGATGACATGCCTTCGAACGGGTGCTTGCCTAATTTGTCGTCGTATCAGAATATTGTCGGGGGGTTATGCAATCAGGGAATGTATGACGAGGCGAAAACTTACGTTAAGGTGATGATTTCCAAGGGATTTTCGCCACATTTTTCGATTGTTCATATTTTAGTTACGGGCTTTTGTAGAATTGGTAAAATCGAGGATGCTTGTGAAGTGTTGTGTGAGCTTTTGGGGCATGGGAATAGTCCGCATACCGACACGTGGGCTGAAATTTTACATACGGTATGCGAGGAATATAATACAGAAGCCATGGGAGATGTGTTAAAACAAGTTTTAAAGGTGGAGATAAAGCCAAACACTAGAATAGTCGATGTCGGTGCTGCTTTGGAGGAATACTTGACGAAGAAGATAAAAACTAGAGATCAAGGACAAGTTGATTACTCGTGTCGTGGTGATGGAGTCTCATTGCATGCCAGCTGCCACTCGGCATGTAGCTGAACAATATTGAAAGATTTTGATGACACCTGGCGAGCCCCTACCCACCAGTCACCACCCTAGATCAAGAGAGATGTTAGGGAAGAGGAAAAGGAGCAGCAGACAATCGGCTAAGACAGAAGAATGCTATCGAAAATACTATGTTTCATCTAATGTTGATACGTCTGCAGCTTCTTCAGTTACGTGTTGATGATGGTGCTTATAGGTTGGGTTTCTTCTACCAGTTCAACTTGTATCTATAAAAGTCGAAACTTTGAATAATCATGAAAGTACGTCATCAAATTAAGGCTCGAGGGTGATGAATGTGTATGTTTATTGTATAAGCAATCATGTGACGAGACTTGAACAATTTTATATCTACAGCTATTTGTCTCTACGAGGCGGCATCATCGAGTAGTTGATAGACGAAGGAATATGATATTCCCGAAATGTATTTACATATGGGCAAAAATACACGTTTACTATTATAACTGTGCTTGGTGTAAAATAAATGAAATTAATTGCTGCATTGCTGCTTCACTATATACAAATACAATCGAGTAGGCTATGCTGGAAGTTCTTGTATATATTAATGTTTTTTTTTGATGATTTTGAGATAGTGGCTGAAGCACGATATTGATTTTGAAGTGGTTCAGCACTTGAAGCAGTTCTCGAACAAAGACCTGACCACCAAGGTAAAATGTAATTCCACACGCATTTGGCTATAATTTCAATTTTCGATTTTCTGCATTTCTGTATATTAATGTTTTTTTTGATGATTTTGAGATAGTGGCTGAAACTGTAATTCCACTGTTTTTTTTTTGTTTTCCCGTAAATTAGAAGTTTATATAGAAGCATTGCATTCTGAGATGTCAGACATTCTAGTAGTCATTCTCAACAGTGGGACGAAAGTTGGTTACACTTGCACGTATTTCTCGAGCATTCTTCCCCGACAGTACAACTGAGGTGTAGTATACTGTTAGCGTGTTTTGTCTGGTCTGACATGTTTACGTAATCTATTTGGGATAATGTTTGGTAAAATATGAAGATATGTTGGGACGAAGGTATTCACTATCGGTTGTGAATTTTTGAAGCTGCCATGCACGAATAAACTAGTATTAGAATCTGTTCGATTTCTTTTATACATATACAGCAACGAATGTCAAGAAGCCATGTAATTCTGCAATGTCCCGGATTAATTTTTCTTAGTTGTAGCGTAAATGCTACTGTTTTTCATTTAAAATGTTAATAGCTTAATGTTCAAATCTTACTCCTTATACAGCTTTCAGAAAAGCTAGATCTATTCCTCAGCACAAAAGCAAATCCGGGATGCGAATAGTGTATATGTTACATCGGGGATGCTGTTTTTAATTTTTTTTATGCCTTTTGTGTTTTATCTAGTTTCTGCTTTCTTTCTTCTTCGATTAGCTGTGATTTGAGTGTGTACGAACTGCTTGGAGTTTTCCGTTAAGCTCTTTGTTCCCCATATGAATTTTCCGATCCTCACGATTTTCTCCTAATCTACATTTTTGACTTTGCATATCGGCTACCATCTATTTACTTCAACGAGTTTAATGAGTTAGCCTACGATATGTGACGTTTTTTGTCCAAAGCCAACTTTATTTTAAGTGAGAATACCGTTTAGGTGCCCTAAAAATGCTATTTTTCTAAGATAGAATGGTGATTTAGTAATCTAAGAGCATCTTCCAACGTCATCGTTATTTTTTCCCAAATTCTATTTTCGGTGGTGAATGATAGCAACACAAAATATATATATATATATATTGATAAAAGGAAATTACAGATAACAGAGGTTGAATCGGGAAGCTTAAACACAAGAAAAGCTTCGAGAATCAAGTCCCAAACACTCAGCTCTAACCTAGAAGATCTTAACCTAAAATCAGCTACCTCTCTCAGCTCAAACTTTTCCTATTTATATCAAGTCTATAACTAGAAAGTGTTATTAGAAATAAAAAGTGCAATAACGTTTCTTAAGCCAGCAATTCTTCTTTCTCTTCCTCTATTCTTCGGCCACGTGTCTTGTTGAGAGCCGCTACTAATAAAAGCGTGAGAATACCCGAAAACGCATAATAGAAGTGCGTTTTTTAACTAAACCGTAGTAATATATGTTATGCAAATATAATTCCAACATTATACAATCTGCATGTCTTCTTCTTCATATCTTGCTCCTTTGCATGTCTTCTCTTCTTCTTACTATAATTGGATCTTCCGGATTAAGCTCGTAACAGTGAAAAAATGGGTTTGTCTCCCACCCTTAGAGCATCTCTGATCGGTCACTATATTGCAATTTTTTCATTTAATTTAGGGCAAATTACGGCCACCCCCCTGAGCTATGGTCAAATTACAAAAACCCCCCTCCTGTTTGGGTAATTACAGCCACCCCCTCAACTATGTATTTATCTTACGAAAAGACCCCTCCAGAGGTAAATTTAGGGATGTTAATTCGGTAAAACTGGACCAAAATTTTGGTACGCTAGTATTTCATACCGTTTACCGAACAAAATATACGATTTGGTTCGGTAAATAACCGAATTACATAAATTTTACGTAAAAATATTTAAAAGGGGGGGGGGGGGGTGGCTGTAACTACCCAAACAAGAAGGGTTTTTTCGTAGTTTGACCATACATCAAGGGGGTGGCCGTAATTTGCCTTTTAATTTATGTGTTTTTAGCCTCCCATCCAAAATTCCTATATCACTATTACATATAAAATTATAGAGATTTGGTTTTAGCCTCCAACCGTGGTCCATCCCCATATTACCAAATACCCAAATTTTATTTTTCCACCAAATTTTTTGGTGAAAGAATTTTCATCTCCGACCCAACAACTATTTTCCTATTTTTTCTACCAAATCCTATTTTTTCTACCAAATATAGAGGTGAAAATAGAATTTGGTGTAATTATCATCATTATATAACTTAACATATAGATGCTGATTTTAATTAATTGCACCTGATTACCGACTTAGTTAGCATATGGATAAATTAGCATATAGGAAATGATAATACTAATGGTGAATGAGTTATTTTTTTATGATTTAAAATTAATTTATGTTGTAATATTGTTATTTATATAATAATTTATGAGATTATTGTTTATGTATAATTTTATTATATGCAAAATAATTTGAGTTCTTGTTACTTCATGTTTAGATAGTTTTGTAACATTAATAACAAAATTTTTAAATTATATAATTAAAAAACTTTATTACTTAAAATTGGATCTATAATTAATATTTAGGAAATAAAATATACTAAAATTACAATAAACATTAGATTTAGGCCCTGTTTGTTGAGCTCTTAATGAGCTCTGAACAGGCCTCTCCTCTTATTCGATCAGTAATAAGCCATTTAGCGTGTTTGATGGACAGATTTGAATGAAACCAGTTTTCGCTGAGCGATTCAGTTTAGAAAATCTGACTTATTGATTAAGAGATACATTTGAATGGGTTTTAGACAAATCTATTCCCAAAAACTTTGAGCATTCTTTGACCTGTTGTCTCTCTCTTTCCTTTCGACAAACTGTGGATGGCAGAAAAGGGGCAAGACTCAAGTGGGGAGAAGACTGTTGTGGCACAATAAATTAAAGGATAGCTTTCAATTTTGACTTTTCATAAGAAATTGATTTTAATTAAATTATTTTTTATTGCATAAAAATGGTTCTCCTAATAAAAGACCTTCTACGAAAGCTTATAATATGGTAATTAGATTTATAATTTTTTATTGTAAAATTAGAATTACTAATAATTCAGCTGGTAAATAAATTTATGGATAGGGCTAATATAGTAATATTATATCATTCAGATCCTAAAGATGTCCAGTTATCAAATAAACTTACTCGTTCAGTATTCAGCATTCAGATAGTACTCTTAATCATTCAGATATTTGTTCAGCGTTCAACATTCAGTGCTTAATTTTATCAAACACACCCTTACAGTTTTGGGGCATATATGGTGAAATGATATGGGAGACCAAATCTAATCACATTTCCTAATAGTGGTGAAATGGTAAAATATTATTATTTCAATATTTGGTCTAAATTTTGGTGAAATCCATTTGAGACCAAAAACACCATTTTTCACCAAAAATTGTGGAAGAGAAAAATGGTATGCTACCAGTGGGAGATGAACCTGATTTTTCACCACAAAAAATGGGATTTGGTGAAAAAATGGTGAAACTGGTCGGAGATGCTCTTAGCACACCATTCGACAATTTCACTACTTTTGGTGAAGAAATAGTGTATTTGGTCTCCCACCAATTCCATTAAATTTTACACCAAATAAAAAAATAATAATATTTCACCATTTTATAATTTATAGAGAATAACATTTGGTTTGGTCCCCCATTATATTTCATCAAATATATCACAAAATTATAAATTTAAAGTTAATCAAATTTTAGTCTATTTTAATTTCAAAAATATTGATTATAGATCCGATTATAAGTAATAATTTCGTTAATTATATAAGCTTAAAATTATGATAAATTTCGAAAAACTATTGAAACACGAGAGAAAATCAAGGCAAATCATTATACATATAATAAAACCCACATAAACAATAATTTCATAACTTAATGCATAAAAATATTAAAACAAAATTAATAAAAAAAACATTACAACTTTTATTTTTTATCAAAACAAATTATTTCAATGATAATTTATCTTTTGAACACTAATTCGTTAATTAACGTTAATATATTTTCTATAAATATGTTTGTAAATTGGTAATCACGTGAAATTAGTTAATATAATAAATTTATATCTTAATTATAAAATGATTTAATCACACCAAATCCTATTTTAATTTCTATGTTTGATAAGAAAAATAAAATTTGGTGGTAAAAATGGTAAAATGGTGGAAGGGTGGGAGATGCAAATTTATTTACCAAAACATTTAGTGAAAATATAGAATTTGATAATATGGTAATATAAGTTTTGACCACGATAAGAGACTAAAATAAAATCATCATAATTTTAGATGTAATGATAATTTAATAATTTAAACTGGAAAATTAAAAATACCTAAATTAAGTGTAATAAATCGGATATGGTGTAAGGTGGAAGATGCCCTAAATGAAAGTCTAATAATCATTCAATAATGAACAATCTAGTAAACTTGAGTGACAGTTAAAATAAGTTGCAAGCACTATATTGCTTTTATATATATATGAACTTCTGTTAAATATGTATTACGAGTGTAGTGTTTCATATATAATAACTATGTTTGGTTATGTTTTCATCTCAATTTAATTATTTCTCTGCAATGAATTTCTGTTTGTTAAGATTTCTTAGAAAAAAAAATCTCAAAACAACTTCTAAAATTTGTCTCTCCTTTAAATATAATGTGACTGCTATAGTAAAAAAATTAGACTGCTACAAAAATTGTGTTCACTAAAAAACAAACATCACTATACTTTTTTAAAATTTTCTTCTTCAATACATTTTTCTGACACATTTAAACATGATTTGATCGCTAAAATGTAATTTGTCTCATTTCAAAGTATAAACAAACATTATTTTCATTCTCCAATTATTCTTTCAAAATATATTGCCA